TAAACTGTATTACTGTTACATTTCAAAGCATATATTGCTATGTTTAGGACAAACAATTAAAGACTGCTTTAATTTAACAAATTCTACAATATAAAAGTGGCAGATTCACTTTATTAAACAGACCAGACCTAGGTTGCATACCAACACAATTAGGAACATGCTCACATCTATGTTGGTCTGAAGAGCTGAAGCATTCATACAAAACGCCACTAAGTCAAATCGCACCTCCAGCATTCCTGAACAGGTTGAAACCTGCATTGTCTGATTGGATATGTTATAAAATAAGCAGAGAGAAGCGGTTTTAGTAACAGGTGTGAAGAGATTATACTGTTGGCAACTACAACCTGTAATTAAATTATTTAATTAACTTTCTGTGTCCAACTAAAGTGATTCAAAGCAACTCCCAACTTGAAGAAGTATGTTGGGAAAAAAACCACATCCAGCTGCCAAGACTGCAGCTTACACGTTGTGCACCCGCTACTAATGTGTCTCCTAAAGTCTGCAGCTTACCCTTGCTGCCATTTACAGTTGGAATCATGGACCTCCTGTTTTATGAGTCATGCGCAGAGTCTTTTTGCAGGTGCACCCGTGCTGTTCAGCCAGTTAGAATGACATTGCAGATTTTAAATGATGTATGGTGTGACCAAGACAAATTCCAATGTTTTTGGAAAGTAGTTTCTTCTTAGAGTGTAGAAATGTAAGTAAATTAAACCTTCTAATACTGGATGTGGATAAACAGTCAATTCTGTGGTATTTAGATCTATCTTCATATGTGATATTTACTGCAAAGTCAATCAGCTGTTAGAAACGAATACTCAAATATAGCATGATGTTAACCTAAATGTTGGATTTGTTTTCCAACTATTACAGATATCCAATTTATTATTTATACATTGCAAAAATGTTCATTTTGCGAGCATATACTCATATTTAAGCCATCTATTCATAAGGCACAACCTATGGGCACAACAAACTGTCCCATATTTTTTTTAAAGGCCCTCGTCAACACATCAATAAATGCACTAAAATCTGCTGTACTGCCTTCCCCGAATGGGATCGTAAACTGTAACCCTGAGGACAGCATGTCCTTCACCGCCCGCTTGATAGCCTTTCTTCAATTTCTCTGTGTCAGTAAAGTGGAGGTGCTCCGAGGGTGACCTTGTTCGGGGTTTTTTTGCTGCCTAGAGAAAAGAGCACAGAGGGAACACAGACTGCCTGAGTGCCTGACAGATTTGCTTAATTCAACTGAAATACATGTTAAGTGTTGTGCATCTTTTCTGTTTAGTCTCAATCAAGAGCCACTCAGACTGAAAACATTACAGGAGCTCTCTTCACTAAAACGCTCCTCTGCTCTTTGAATGTGTGTCAATAAAACTGCAGGTGGGCTCTTTGGTTGGGAATGAAAAATTATATTTTTCTCTTCACATACTTTAGCTAACCTTTCACAAGTGTGCTTTATACAGGCTTTCTTCACACATCCTTTTAAGTAGGAATAATTTCACAATGTGCAACAGTGCTAGACAAAACATTTTTAAAACCTCCTTTAAATAGACTTGAAAGTACCTTAGTCATACTGACTGGCACAATTACAAACGTGTGCCCTTTAATGTAAATAGCAGCACGTTTTGTTTTATGTTGAATATTAATGTTCAACAGAGGTTCCTTTTAATTAAGGCTTGATACTGTATGAACATTTCTGTTTACAAACTGTCTGGCACAACGAACATATCTTTCAGGATTTACAGCACATACAGGAACTTGCTAGCAAATGTGATGAATCACATAGACCTGTTGCCGAGGCAACACATTACATATCATTTTGTTTTGCATGCTGTGAATGTGACAAACGCTTATTCATTGGTGTGTTGGAAGAAGGAAGCAAGCTACAATGTCTTCATGTTTTTGACTTCTTCTTCACTTCCTAGGAAGGGAAATCTTACCTCTTATGTAAGACTGTTAGTGCACACACCCCTGCAGGCTTGACCAATCAGGAGGCTTCCCTGGTGGCCTCAGCCCCCAGTGTTTTGTTCGTCATCGTGTAATAAGATTCACACAGCGAGCAGCAGCTTCGGGCGGTCGGTCCTGCGGAAAGTGAAGGACGAGACATGAAGAAGAACGAGGGGGGGGGGGAGTTACTGGGCGGTGGGCCAGAAACGTCATAACACTCTGTGCCCCAGCTGTTAGTCCTCAGGGAGACCGGTTGCCATGGTAATAAAGACCCCACCACCTTCCTCTCAATGGAAACGTTAGGGCATACTGTATGTCACTTACTACTAACAATCTATGTAGTAAGCGTTGTGGCTTCTTTCTTACTTCTTTGTTATGATGCCACAGAGTAGCACGCAGATAGAGGTGACATTGTCAAGAAGCAATACAATGTGGGCACTTTTTACAGTCTATTCTGGTTTAATTGTCTTTATGTTTTAATATCTTGTGTTTTTTTGGTTTTTGTAGTTAAATCGCATCCCCTTTTGGCACAATAAAGAACTTCCGTTATAGGAAATGCTTTTGCAAATCATTTTAATGGCCTTTCTTTTCTCCAGTAGTCTGGAACACAATTGATATATGATCAGTTAATAAATCAATTCTGACTTTGGGGTCATGTCATGGTCACATTAATGCAATATGATTCAATGATCCCTGAGCTATACGTTTCAAATGACCTTATCTGACCTTCAAATGGCCTACTAAAGCATTTTTTTTGTATCGGATCAGAATTGAAGGGCTGCAAATGACAAAGAACTCTATCTAGGTTACCTGAAAGAAAGAGAATACACAGGAAAGGCAATCTCGGCTGCAGTGATACCACAGTATCATGATTCCTCCGGTCAGCTCCTTTGAAGCACACAGTCAGGTTGACAATGCCCGCTGATCCCTGCCAAGCTTCTGATAGAGTTACATAACCACACCTTAATCCCAACCCTGAGTTGGTGACTGTAACTACAGATTTGAGGTCAGATTAGAGCTTCACACCACTCCGCCTCGACTGTTATATAGAAACAAACTGATTCTTGAACAGCAGATGTGATTACCTGGTTACTTTAATCTTCTGGACAAAGATGTGCAATAAGTACAAGGTGTTGCGATACATACATATGTCAGTATTGAAACTGTCAATTGCATTTTATAACTTTATGAAAGTTGTCAGTATTTCACAGGCTTTAGTTTCAAGGGAACTATATATTTACGAATTTTTTTAACCATCCATATAATCTTAATTGAATTGCTGAATTTCTGAAATTAAAAAGTAAAGTGGTGAGATTGAAAAACTGAATTTCCCCCTGGGGTTTCATCTTCAATTATACAGCTCAATATATTGTAGTCAAGGAACAATTTAACATATTAAATATATGATTAAGGCATTCTTTATTTTATGTTAATTAGAATTGGAAACAGATATATATTTGACATATATATCTGTTATTAAGAGTGGTGCAGTATGATTCACATGTTGGTGTACAGGGGGACACCAAGATAAAAATAATTGCTTCCCTGAGAGGACAGGTGTTACCGAGACTAGATTGGTGTCGGCCTCTGTAAGAGAGGAAATCTGAACTAGAATTGTGACAAATTAATGTTTTTTGCATTTGTTTTGTATTGTATTATCACAGTTTCTGTCTTTAATCTCTTGAATAACTTCTGTTCCAGAATATTTGTTATTTTCCAATGGAAAGAAAGTTTCTTTAGAACCATTCAAACTTTAATACAAAAATCTCCTGAAGGTGCTCCGAGTCAGCCTTTTTGCCAAACAAACATCTTCATGGGGCTTTTCAGCATGACTAAATATTATTCCCACAGGTGTATCCTTATGCACACAATAAATGTAAACACTGGCCTCATATCAAGTGTTCTTGTAAGTCGCTTTGGATAAAAGCGTCAGCTCAATGCAATGTAATGTAATGTAATCAAGACTCAGGGTTTTCCTTTGAGGAGGGCTGATAATGTCCCCAGAAAGCTTGTATAACTCATAAGCAGCACAAGGACATAAGTGAGACCAAAGCAGTTACCAAACACCATCTTAGAAACTGCAAAGATCAAGAATAACTTTACATAGGCTTTCACCCATGCAACAGCCAATACGATATCATTTCACATTCCAAAACAAGTTGTATTAAGACAATGCTTTTGTTATAAATCAATTTAACCTACTATGACCACTGTCAGCTTATGATGATCCTATGACTGTCCTTTTCTCTGTCCGCTCTATGTTTGTTGATGCCTTTGTAACTTATTATTAAGGTTAATTTGTTGTCTAATATGTTGATAACAAGTTACATAAGAGAAATGTAAAATGCATGTGAAATGCAATCGGTGCAGTCTGAGGTGTGTTAGCTCGTGTTTCAGAGTGAAAGTATTCTTGTTGGCATGCAAGAGACTGAACAAGGACACAAATAATTCATATTTTGTTGAACCTTGTTCAGAGAGTACAACATTATGCTTGGCTGTTTCTTTATTAAGCATCTTCCTTGCTTTTTCCATCCACTACAAAACATTTAGAAATTTGATCTGAATCGATTTGAGCAAGAACACATGGCTTGATGTGTTGCTGAATGATTAAGCAATGTTTTTTGTTTTTGTTTGGGAAGATCATAGTTCAATTTTCCAAATTTTCCAAATTCATATTGCCATTGGAAGATCTCCAGTAAAACATTATTTTCCGGTCTGCAGTTTTTTTGTTATTCTAAATTTTTCTTGAATCAATAACAATTTATTTGTATTATGATCTACTGGACATTATGTATAATGTTATTGGGCTGTGGTTTTTGTGACACAGCACACAGGCTACTTTATGTTGTGGCTGTGGCGCTCTCTGTTGGCTAAAATCTATGGCTAAAATGAACACTTGATAGTAATAAAATAACGATAATATTAATTGTAAATACAATAGGCAATTAATATACTTACACCCATGTGCAATACGACATATAGCAAATATTTTACAAGGATATGTTGCCGACAAACAACCAGCGTGGTATTTATATATATATCTTCAGGCAATTTCTGCGAAGGCTACGCAACTTCCGTCAAGCTGTTTGAGGACCTCAGGATGTCCATGCTTGCTGAACGTATGTACATTTCTTCAATTGTTTTTACGGATATTTCCCTTTTTATTTCAATTAAACAATCCGTTTTTTCTTATTTTATTTTCGCTAATAATACATCCACGAGCTGTTGAGAGACATTCTTCTGAAAGTATTCAATTGTATACGTATTACAACTGTTCGGCTTGCTAACATTAGCATTAGCACACCAAAAGCAGTATACGACAACACGTGTTTTCTCTTGTAACTCTGCAGTCACCTGTCAATTTCTCAGTTTAGTTAACTATATCGTCGTTAATGACCATCTATTGTTATCCATTTGTCTGCTCTCTTGTTAAAAAACGTGTTGTCCTCTTTTGCACATTGTTTTCTCCAATGTTGTCGGACGTTGCTTTTGTTTAGGTCCCGTAATGCTGACAGATGTCAGTGTGTTTACATGCACAGGGCACCTTATAGTCTTCATTATTTTACAGAACAAAACCTGATTTATTTACCAGGAAGGGCCAGCAGCATACTTTGATATTTTGAAAGATGTGTATTCGAAGGAAAACGGACGCAATACAAGGCTACATATGATATCTAACTGTGTGGCAACTGTATTATTATACAGGTTTGGGTAACTAAACTGGGTAGTTGTATCACGATGCTGCACAGTAACATTTGTCTTAGTAAGCATACGGTCTTGTCGGTGTCAGCGTGCATTGTGAGTTGCTTTCATGCTCGTTTATGTTATATTTTGTTCAATGACTGTTATGTAATGTTGGTGCTTCTCTCTATGCAGCCAAGAAAAAACTGAAGTGGTCTGTTGACCCCAGGAACAGCGCCTGGTCCAAGGATGAATCCAAATTTGGCCAGAAGATGCTGGAGCGAATGGGCTGGTCCAAGGGCAAGGTGAGGTGGACCTTTCTTATTAGATCAACAGCGGTGATTTATTATTAAACTGGCAGTGAGCGGATGAGTAAAGAAACAATTGTGTTAAATGTAATGTCTTCTCTTTTCATGTGAAGGGCCTGGGAAGAGCTCAGCAGGGCTCCACCGATCATATCAAAGTCAAAGTTAAAAACAACCACCAAGGTTTTGGAACCATTGCCAGCTCTGAGGTGAGCACATTCAACGCTTTGGGATTTGATACTAGAATAAATGGAATATTGTTTCTCTGAATCTGAAAACCAAGGACATTTTACGAGAACCTAAAGAGAATAAGTAATCAGAAGTCCATATTGATTGCATTAGTAACATGGTTATTGGTTAATGTAGTTTGTAGTGCATGGAAACCGTTTATGTGATGTGAGATGGTGTATTCAATCAACTTACAAATTAAAATGTAAAACATCTATTATGGTACAGATTTTAAATGACGCGAATAAAAACATTGTCAGGGTTTAAAACAAAGTATACATTATAATCGAGGTAAGGGAGGTTTAATGCCAGAACTGTTGTATTAAAAAGAATTAAGGCTGGCTAGCTGTACCTTCTTATAATCTGTCAACTGAGTGTTTAAATCTACATCTAACACACTACATTTATCCTCTGTTTGTTATCCTCTGTTGTTTGTTATCCTCTGTTGTTTGTTTGTATGTTGTTTTTATGTTTCATGTGGAACTAAATGATGCAGGTCTCCCTTGTAAATGAGATCGATGATCTCAAGGGACCAATCTGTCTAAATAAAGGTTTGAAATGAAATGAAATGAACTCCTGTTGTGTTCACAGGATAAGTGGATTGCCCACCAAGATGATTTCAATGAGCTTCTAGCTCAACTGAACAACCACCATGGTCAAAACAACAGCGCTGGTATGTACATCCACAGCATTAGTGTTTATAATGCACTGTCTACAAATGGGTTATGATGTAGTTGTGGCGGTGTTACTTCAAAACAGTGTCTCACTCTTATTCTTCCCAAACCGATTGTCCTTGTTGGATTAAATGTTGTTTTTGATTTAAAAAATGAAACATTATCTTTATTGTCATTACATCCCAGTTCACACATTGGGTTCAAGCACTTTGGGTTCCCTTGGTTGTTTAAAAGAAAGAAGAAATAACTATTACAAGTTGAGATCTAGCGATAGGATGTTTTCTTTTCATATGTATTTGTGATTAGATTCTTATTAGATGGTGAAAATTCTCCATCCACCAATATGTATCCGATATGATCCTATACCCTGGCTACGTATTGTCACGAGTTGATGCATGATGTGTACTCATTTTTCAACGTTGTGGCTCTGTCTGAAACTACACAAAATCCCAGTGCAGCAATGTCTTTGTTTGGTCCCTGTGTCGGACAGTAGAGGGTGCCACACGGCAACATTTAGGATACATTCTCACAGAAACATCTTGTTACCACTGTTCTGGGAAACACTGCACTGCTAGAATACTGGTTTATCAAAGTTGGTGCAAAGATGCGTCTTACATTTTCATCACATGACCATATTTATTTGTATTTCTTTATTATTTTTAGAACCTCCAACGTCAGAGGAGCCAAAAGGATTCAGCTTGGAGGAGAAGTCCAAGACCGGCAAAAAGAGGGTTCATTACATGAAGTTCACTAAAGGTGGGTCTATCTTTTGGCAGCAGACGGGTCTTTACAGCACCAAGTCCAAGGGCTAAACATAGCTCAGGAGAGCACTATTTGCTCAAGGGGTGTTTTCTCTTCTCAATCTTAGCACCCATTATATATTACCTCTAAAACAGTTTCTGTAGTATCACTGGATCAACCGTTAATCGCACTAAAACAATTCCCTCGTGAAAATATCTCTGTTTTTGGTTTTAAGGTAGATGTATACTGAAATTAGGTCCCACTCAATTGTGTGCTTCCACTTTTTTATTTCAACCTTTCATACAGTCATTCCAGACAGACAGAGAGGAGTCTCTTTAGCCCCTTGTTGAGCCTGTGCACTTGGCTCGGACCTCTGAAGCTGATCTGAGCTCTGTCAGCCTGTACTGGGTCAGATGGCCCGGTCAGTGCTAGGGGAGGTTATTAATAACTCTTCCTTCTACTTTCATTACTCCTTTACACGTCAGGAAGTTAAGATTTGCTGGTCAAGGCCAGAACACTGATAGGCTAGAGGAGGAATTTGATGTTCAGGACCACTGGAGACCAAACTGAATAACCACAAGCCCATATTTTACTGCAAAGTACTGCCTGAGCAAAGAGCATATAGACTGATTACACTTTTTTAAGATGATTGTCACGATAATAAACATTTTTAAACATTCGTTTAGCTCCTCCTTTTGGATTGAAAGGATTGCAAACTTATGAAGCATTAACACATGCTGAAGTAATTAATCCATAACAGTTTTTGTTATTTGGTTCAATGTACATCCTGAGGTCAGCATACATGAGCAAACAAAATATCTCAACTTTTGCCTCACCTGGGAGAGCCTTTTACATTTTACGTCATTCAATAGCAACTTCCTGTTTCCTGTTTGGGGCATCTGGCATGTCCATTTACTGGCCCCCTAAAAACAACACCTCCCAGGGGCTTTGTGACCCATTAGATGACCCTGCTAGATAACGTAGGACCTGAGTCTCTTCTCTAGACCCTCTCACCCTGTTTATGTGATCTTAATTTGGCAGGAGCCAGAAAAAGACCCCGGTGCATCAGATGCACCATACAAGGCACAATTAAGGCAACAAGCACGGACACTATGAACATAATAATGTTCCATCTGGTGCTCTCCCTTTTACCCTCAGTCCCTATGCATACGTTGTTGAAGTCCCACAACTGATTATAACAGACTTTTCGGAGTCTTGCAGACGCACCTTTGCTTCAGTTGGTTTTCATTCTGGGATTTTGCATCTGTTGGGTAATTTGAAAATGAATGCCATCTCTAAATATCACTTCACAATGATAATTTAACAACATGGCACTGTTTACCACATTTCCATTAAAACATCTTAGGTGAGTTATTTATGTTATTTTTAGATTTAGTTTTATTAAATCCTGACTAACAGTGACTGTTTAATGTCTCCTCACGGGGCGAGTCTCATTTAAACAAAGTCTTCAGGGTTCTTGTAGGCTCCCTGCGTGTCCCCTCAGTGACTATAAATACTGTGTTCTAGCCTAGACCTGGCCTGCTTTTAGTCTTGCTTTACCTCTGCTTAATCCCTCTCTAGCGTTGGCACCATAGATAAAATCATAACTTCCATTATTCTTAATGAGGATATATCACACAGTCATAATGAGAATGCATGGTGATATTTCCATTCTGCGATGAAATCTTTGAAAACATTTCCTGTTGTCCCTGCCCTGCGAGTCCCATCAAACGTTTTGAAATGCTACACTTCTGTTTGAATCTCTGCATCCTCCCAGCTATATCCACCTCACTCCGCCCTCTCAAGACGGCCTCATTGACCCCATGAAAAGCACTGGAAACAATACCTTGCTTAAGTGTTATTGTCAATGTGACAGTATCTGTTGTTCATCACCTTTTGTTGACTGTGAACTTGGGCCTCTTTAAGGATGCATTTGTACCCCATCCAGTCATCAGCTAATAAAGTCTGACTTTGCAGGACTTTTAATCCATTTGAGGAGATCCCTTTAATTATCACCAGCAGCTATTTAAAGGGAACGGGAGCTGGAGAGCAGGTAGCACCTGACAATGCCGCCGTTTGTTAAACACGAGGCATTTACAGGGAAACCAGAATTCAATCTTGAGACATGTTGTTCCTCTGTAGGCAGCAGACGTGTCTTTGGCAACCTGCCACCACTTTGACTTGTTTCTTTAAAAAAAGAAAAAGGCAACAACCGTTGTCGTGCAACAGAAGGGACGCTGGCACTACTTGTTTGTCCATAACTTGATTGGAAACATGAGTTGGGTGATCCGCCTGCCTTAAGTTGTCTGACAGGCATAAAGTGCCAGTGCATTGCTTCACTTTGGCCAGCTTATGGTCTAAATCGGCATATGCCAACAAAGGGTTACCTGGCAACATATAACCGGCCACGCCTGTTTGCATGCTACCACTGACTGATCTGACGCTAGCGCTCCTCTCAGGGAAGCTGTTGCCAAGTTAAGGCTTGGTAATGGATTTAGGGTTGCTAAGCTTGTTAGATGAGAGGTTGAGAAGTCAGGTCCTCCTCATAGTTCTGCATGTGCATGTGTCAACTAAGTCAACCAGTTCTGCTTGATTATTATGGAAACATCATGCATTTACATAAAAAAAGAGGGCACTTTATAAAGGAAAGTACATGAGTCTGGTGCACTTTTACAGCAAAATAGCGGCTGTCCCTGTTCTACTTGTTCTTAATGTGCACGGCTGTAAAGAAAAAAGGTTTGCTATATTTATAACACAAGACAAAGGTGAGTGTCATACAGGAACTGGCACAATTATAATAATTTATATTAATTATTTGGTTTTCATAATCATTATAAGCCGAAATCAGAATGAAAAGAAAACAAGTTAGGATCATTCCCAGCCCCAAAGTGCTCTCTTTAAAACCTGATTTCATGTTCAGTCTGATTTAAAATTGTAAGAGATATTACTGTATGGTCTAAGCCTAGTCATTAACTAAAATGCATCTAGTAATTTCTCATTAATGTATTTCTTAACTTGATAAGAAAGCTGTAAAAACATTAAAGCATTAAAAATGTTGTGGCTACAGAAGCATCTGGGAACCTTCCAAACATCTTATTCTGCGTCTCAGCGCTGGCCTCCTCCTTACTCTCTCCTGCTTTTTATTGATATCCTGTTCAGGCTGCTTCCCTCACTGCCAGCGCTGAGGATTGATGGTCTTTGTTTGTGGGGAAAGGCACCAAAATCTCCGCTGCTTTGGTCCGGGCTCACAGCATAAACCAGTAACCCAGTTTTAATTGCTACCTCCATCTATCACCTGTCACTGCAGCAGGGGTGGTTGATGCAGAATTAAACCACAAGCTCTCTGTCCATTTCTCCGTGTTGTTGGCTTAATTGCAGTCTTGGGGCTTTTATCAAAACAAATGTTCGCATTTTAGTCAGTATAGTTCTGTAATTGGAGATTTTAAGGAAACACAAAACAAGGCAACTACAACATATTATGCAGCTAAAGAGCTTCAGGTCACAGATAGAGTTGTTACTTGTTTCCTTAGAAACCTTACATGTACCTGCAGTTCAGTGTTTCTAAAACTAACTACATTGTTTTATTGGAGAACATCTTATTTAGCTTTTTTCATCATTTAGTATTTGTCATATTTGTGCATCCCCTGTAGAGCCTCAGTGATCTGTTGGTCCGGTTTGACTAGTTGCCTTCCCTGATAGTTGTTACCATTTCAACCGTGTCCTTAGAAACCAGCATGTATTCACTAACACATTCCGCTGCACGACAGCAGCGCACATGCTTCATCCTGCATGATGGCATTCAGCCCCTTTTTTATCAGAACATTGTTACTTGCACTTTCACCTCAAAGCCTGAGAATTTTGACAGGTACTTCGTCATCCAAACAGCAGAAAGGTCACATTGGGCATCATTTTACGTTTGACCCGAGTTCACTAGAAGACAAACACCTCAGTCCCCCCCCCGCCTCATTTATTTTATTTTCAACATACTTTCTTGGTTTTACTTCTCAGACCTGCATGTGCAGTGGCTTTCAAAGCCAAGAGTCGGGGAGATAGAGGTTTAAAAGCAATAAATAACTAAATGTTATCAGAGCCCCGCTGAAGGAAGAGGATGCAGCTGTACGAACAGGACCTGGGCTCGAGACAGACCACTGTGTGCTCAAGGAGTCTTTGAGGCCCGGCTTGAAAATGGGAATCCGGAGGGGTGCGTGGAAGACCTTTTCGTCGGTTTATTTTTCTTTGCCGTTTTATCCCTGGATCCAGAAGCAGACTACGCAAACCTCCCCTTTTCTTTCCTTAAGAGACCACCCCTCCCACTCCTCCTCAACTATTACATGTTGTCTTAGAAAAATAGCTGCCCTTAATATGTTAATTTATTTTGTGTGTCTTGGGGATGAATGTGACCATGAATTGTATTTCAAAGCAAGAATAATAGAGACAAAAAACTAACTTGGTTGAAATAGGCTTTGCAATTTTTAGAAAATGTGTTTGTTTTGTGTCCGTTTTAGGAAAGGACCTGTCCTCCCGCAGTAAAACTGACCTAAACTGTATCTTTGGAAAGAGAGGAGGGTCTTCCAATGACCCAGAGAAGGTAAGAGAAATAAATCATGATTTTCTTTGTAAATCCATAATCGCTAAACACTCCTCTTTTGATATAAAATTCAATTTAGGCTGAATTTATTGTTGTTATGTTTTAACCTGCTAACAAAGTCAAACACATTTTTTAACAAATCAAGAAAACAATCCCCAGTTCTCTTAAAGATGAAGAAATAATGTTTGGCTTTGATTTTATTCTGTCATGAAGCAACCTACACATAAAACACTTCTTCACAATAACTACGTCAATAGTTGGGACTTCCATTATCTTCCATAGTCAGGTTTTATGTTTGATGCACTTGTCTCTAGTATTGTCTTGTGTTTAAAATAATATCCTAAACAGGTCATATGATCATGACTAATTCCTGTAAAACATGTACGTATTTATTAGTTCCAGTCAGTCTTGTTGTGTCAAATGGCACTGCTTCAAGTAACAAGATATCTGTAGAGAACATTTATTATCCAAGGTGTGAATGACTGTTTGCACTGAAACAGTGGGTTTCTAAATTGGGTGGGCAGTACTCTGATCCTTCCTGATCTCGTTCAATGTCAAGTGTGCACTGAGGGTGGAAATGCTTTCCCTTTGGCCAGGTGGTTTTAGCTTATCTCCCTCGGTAATTAAGGGTGACCATTGGTGCTGACGCCTCTATCAGTCGCTGCAGTACCATGTGATCCTTGTGAAGCCTGTGGCCCAGATTAGCCACGTCACTTTAACACTGCCAAAAGGCCACCGGTGGCGGCGAGAGCACCTAAATCCAGTTAAGGGATTTGCACTCTTACCCCCTACTTCTCTCTTTGCACTCCCCCCTTTTCTCCACTTCTGTCTTGGAGCGCTCACATAAGGGTGTTAGAATGCCAGCGGGCATTATTAAAGGCAAATCAAAATTTGGGCGAGGTGTGCAGAAATCTGAAATGATGACGCTTGCAAAAAAGTTGTCTTTCCGCTCTTGGCATTGGTGGTTGGTCACTTCAAACGTCACTTTACCATTTGGCAATATGCTGCTCTTGTGCTTTTGAAGCGTAGCTTAGAGGCTCAGACAGGTACAAGCTGCATTTCAGGCACAGTATGTTCCTTTGACTAACTAAAAATACTAGATTACAATTAATAAAAAGTCGAAAGGTGTTTAGTCTCGGATGGTCTTCCTTTGATTAATAAAAACATCGCCTGAGTTATTATTACCAATTAAACAAGTATCTGAACTTGCTGTACACCAAATCTACTGTTGAAATGATTCACTAAAATATAATTTGTTAAAGTATTTTTGGTGTCACAAGTTCGGCTGAGTCCATACAGAGCCAGAAGGACAATAACAAATGTAGCTTTTGGAAGCAGAGACACAGAAAAATCCTCTAGCTGGCTTCCTCTGTTTATCTCAAGCATTTGGCTTGAAGAAATTGGCATCTTAAAATCCATAAATTGCAAAAGGAAAAACCTTTTTCTATTCCCACGCAGGTACAGAGCCATAACATCACAATGGCTGCTTCTCCCCAGCTGATTAACATTGGAAATGCAAGCAATACACACTATCATTTTCTCCCTAATCGTTTAGTTATGGGTTGTTATTTTTCAGCCAGGAGGGACACCATTGACCATATCGAAAACACTGAACACAATTACAATGGCATCCCATGAGGCCTTGTGTTGAAGCCCTGCAACATCAGAGGTTGCTGGGAAGAGGTAAAGAGGGTGATGGACCAATCAAGCTGTAGGCATTGTGCAGGATCTCTGTGACACTGCCAGTGACCCTCTGCGCTCCGTGGTCTGTGCTTACCATAGTCCACATTACTGTGACGGCACAAATTGTGCTCTACAATTTACAAACATCCAGAAATCTCAGTACCCTAAAGAGTTGTACTCTTAAGTAGTGACCAAATCAACATTAGGGGCTTTGGTTTAGTGTTGGATTGGATTGGCAGGGGTTTGAACCAGTTGCGTTATGACATATCTGCATCCTAACAAGGTGAGACCTGACCAAATCTGAATCTGCTTCTCCAGAACGGCCTGTCTACCGGCTCATGAATCTTCCAGCACCTCACCCACCACCCACTGTTGTCTCTCCAGCCCCCCTAACACCAGTCCCCCTGCTGCTGGGGTTTTCCTTCCTACGCAGTGATGTGCTTCCTGTTCGCCTCTTATCGCTTCTCACAACGCTCCCTGAAATGCAGGCAGACACACACACACACACACACACACACACACACACACACACACACACACACACACACACACACACACACACACACACACACCATAAATAGATGACCACCATTTCACCCCAAACCCTTATTCCACCTAACCATCTAGACGCTTGAAAATGATGGCTTACAACCATTATTTACACTCCCTGACCGGTGAAAGTTATCAAGTTGTGTTGGAGCACCTGTCCATCTACGTGGCTCTCTGTTATCCATCACCCATCCCACGCTTGCGAGCCCCCTCCATCTCCTGCTTCCTCTAGCGCCCCTCAACACAATTACTCACAGCATGACAAACGACAGGCTTTCTCTGCCGAGATATCAAAAAGCCCCGGCCACTTCTAAATGAAGGCACTTTGGCAGCCCTGTGCTCCCCGTGCTTATCGGCGGGCGAGCAGTGCCCCTGGCCGTCCTGCGTCCCCCCCTTCTTCCTCCTCCTTCTCCACCACCATGCCCTCCTCAGGGGGTTTAGTTAGGGGAGCCACATGGAGGGCCAGCCCGGCTTGATTTATCTCCCTTGCCCCTCTGCCCGGCCACTCAGGCAGGCCGAAAGAGCCGACGAGGCTCCAACGGGCCTCAGCTCGAAAGCCCGGCATTAGCTGAAATAAACCATTCTGCCGCCCAGTGAAAAATGTCCTCTGATTGGCTAATTAATCAGTCAAAGGGGAGCGACGCGGCTTGTGACTTGAGGGACCCGAGCGGGCGACCGCAGAGGGCCTGCTGATAAATAGACTCCCCGCCGGTTCATACATCAACAAAAGTTAGTCATTTTTTAAAGCCGCCAGCTCACATGAAAGGTGGAAACAAGCCATAGTTTTATTTTCCCACCTACATTTGCTTCCACGGCCCTGTTTTTGGGGGGATGGGGTTTGAAAAAGACTAAATTCTGTTTTATTTTTTTTGTTAATTTGTATTACTTGCATGTAAAGCTCTTTTAAAAACCTTTTTCTAATTAAATGGTTTATTATGATTAAGTCTTCTATATATTGATCTTGTGAAGAAGTCTGATAACTATAATAAAATGTTTCTGTTGCTCAATGCAATTGGCAAAATTAAATATTTAGCTCACTGCTCACAACCTCTTCATCAGTGCAGTACATATCTTTATCTAGGATTTAAGTTTTACAGTCGGCAGACCCGATGATATAAGAAACATTAAAATCCTAACAGTGACCCATTCATTAGTTATTTACTCCTTAAAAATGTCAGGAAAAGCGGTTGAATATAATTTGGAACATGGCTTGTTTTGACGTCTGAGCCTCCAGTCAGACAGTCGGTATGGCTCACCCTGCTCTCGGGTCAGCATGACCCCTGCGGCCTCTCCCACTCCCACTCCTGCTCAGGCACAAAGGGGCCGAGGATCAGGCCTCATCGGGTGGCACCTGTTGCAAGTCTTTCCTGCCCACGCGTCGTCCACATGAAGGATCGCACGTCAGCGGAGGCTCCCCCGATACCAGCATCTTAAGGAATATGGGGCAGGGGCGGAGCGGGTTGGGGGCTCGAGCGTTTGGCAGATGCGTCGGCTAGGCGCCAGGGAGTCGATGGGCGGAGTCGAGCAGTGAAACTTTGCTGACAGCGCAGAGGCAAAATGTCTTTTTACAGAAATTCTATTCAACTCTAGAACGGGTTTTATAGGTTGCTGCTGAGGCCTGGGAACAGGAACGTGAGGTAGTGTTGGATTATTTAGAAATCTAATTAAGACCAGTTTAGATAGTGTTACACATGTCAGGTGCTGTGTATATGTAGAAAGAATCTGTATCGATTTGTTGTTAACTTGCAGTCTTTACAGATTAAGCGCCTGTCCTGCTGGCATTAACAGGATTATTCTTCCACTGCATTTTCCAGTTAACTGTATAAATAGAAATACAGCACTAAAGCAGAGATCTTTCTTATTGGCTCAGTTGTCTGTTAACCTCAGCATTGATCTATTGAAAGGGGATGCTGGTGTAAACGTGCGCTTTCGCTGCGTTGTTGGAGCAGATTGAATGGGCCAGTGCAGTCATGCTCTTAGCGTATTGTCAAGCTGGAGAGCTCTTATTCATTCTCAGATAACATCTAATTGCTTTGAGCGAAAAAGCTCTCCCTTTCTTGAGCATGTTTGTTGACGGGCCCTTTTGCTTCTACCGCTGGAAATATCAAGACCCGCCAAGCAACCCCCCCTCACTCCACCCCCTGCTGCAAAAACACACACATTCACCACCTACCTCCCTGGCAGTTCTGTGGACTGCTCCCTCCTGGCCATGCCAGCTCGCTGACACTTACAGATTAGCACAGGACAAAAAAAGAAAAAGAGGGCGTCTGTCTCTTAGTTACGGGCCTTAGCTAGAATACATGGGACCAGGGTAATTACCGCCTGGTGAAGCTAACCGCCCAAAGATTTCCAGCCCTCTCGGCTGTTTACTGCCGCCGACCACCGTTTAATCACTGACTGTTTAATCTAATAAATCACATCTGGGGAAAATAATCACTGTATCTTCTCTCTGTGGTTGGGGTGGGTGTACCCTATGCTCTTGAGGGGGAATTGTTGGCTAGTGTTTGCAATGTAAAACAAGCTCAGGGCAGTCATGCTGCATGCATAATGTTGTCTTCATTTGTTGCTCATGATAAACGTGTTTGCACCCGGCACAAAGTGTAATTTTTCAAACCCCATTCTTTTTTTTTTTCTTAACTACAGACGGAAAAAGCCTTTAGCAAAAGTATTGTCTTGTGGAAGCTTCCGTGTGTGGCATTTTATGTATTTATGGTGCATCATTTAAAGTTTTTCAACTTTGTTACTTTGTGTATATGGAATTTCTGCAG